CACAGCATTGATAAAAAAGAAAGCAAAGTCACAAAAGAATTCAAATTGGGAGATCAAAAAGACAATTGTGTATCCATGTCATTTTAATACCAAATCTACTGAAAGAAATTGGATGAAGAAAATGTGGTAAATTCATGTAATGTGTTCTTATTTAACCATTAAGAGGAACAAAATTCTGATATATGTTATTACACAAGGTTGGACTGTAACAAGATTTTTCCTGTCCCAACCACCTATTCCCAAATATCCAGCAGCTGCTTCCCAAATAACCACACAGAGGCTTATATTAATTATAAATGCTCAGCCAATAGTTCAGGCTTATTACTAACTAGTTCTTACACTTAAATTAACCCATAATTCTTATCTATGTTTAGCCACATGGCTTGGAATGTTTTCTCAGTACAGCATTCTCATCTTACTTTTCTGTGTTTGATGGCAACTCTCTGATTCCACCCTTCCTCTTCCCAGAATACTTCCAGTCTGGTGCTCATGGTCAAACTGTTCCTTCCCAAACACTGGCCAATCAGCTTTTTATTAGCAAATGAGAATAATAAATACTCATAACATAGAAAATGATTGCTCTACATTGTTGTACTTTGATGTCAGAGTGAGAGAATGAGCAGTCACAAAAGATAAACACTATGTAGTTCAGGTATGGGTTACCCAAAGGAGTCAAATTTCTAGGCACATGGAGTAGAATTATGGCTGCTAGCAGTGTGAAGAAGTAGAATAAGGAGGGATTGTTGAGTGAGTACAGAGTTTCCATTTTACAGGATGAAAGCATTGTAGAAGCAAGATGGTGTCAGTGATTCAAACACACAAATGAGTTTATTGTTAAACCCTAGGTGTCTAACTGCTCCAGATCATTGACTACCTTCTTGTCTATCTGGAAAGAGACCTCAGAACTACAAAAATGGTTCTGATCAATAGATGTGGACAGCCATGTACTGGTTGCTTTTTATTTATTGTCAATTGACAAAACCTAGAGTCACCTGGGAAGAGGGGACATGTTAGGGAACTGTCTAAATCAGACTGTCCTGAGGATATGACTCTGTGAAATTGTCTTGATTGATGGTTGATGTGGGTGGTTCCAGCCCACTGTGGGTGGCATCACCCAGGCCGATGTGCCTGAGCTGTAGATGAAAGCAAAGAGCAGGGATCAGTAAACAGCATTCCCCCATGTTTCTGCCTCCAGTTTCCTGCCTTGAGTTCCTGCCCTGAATTCCTTCAGTGATAGACTATGTGTGACCTGCCAGATAAACCATTTTCTCTCCTAAGTTCCTTTTGGTCAGTGTTTTATGGCAGCAACAGAAAAACAAAAACATCAGACCTTCATTCCTCATTCATCCTCTTGGCAAGCATTTATTAAGTGTCTAGTAAGTACTAGGCATGGTACTGGGTGATAACTATAAAGCAGTACTTTATTCAAGGTCAATTCAAATTTATTAAGAAGAGCAGTTAAAATTGCAGTTGTGGCCAGGTGTGACGATAGGTTCCTGTAATCCTAGGAGACTGAGGTAGGAGGGGCATGAATTTGAGGCCAGCATGAGGCTTTGCAGCAGGACTTTTCCCTAAAAGTGTAATAAAACATTGTAGTTGTTTGAGTGGTGGGAAGGGGACATGATATTGTGAAAATTTGAGACATATCTTACTCAATGAAGACTGGGATGGTTCATCTGCAAGATGTGAGGGAGTAAAGCTTCCATGAGGTGGATTCATTTTCTTATTTTTATGAGTAAATAATTGACAAGAATCAACTGATACCTTAAGAAGTGACTCTGTCCAACATGGCAACAAGAGCATAAGGAAGATGATCACATTGCATGTACAGTCAGGAATCAGCAGACAGGAAGTAGAGTTGGACTTTCAAATCTCAAGGCCCACCTCCACCAATTACACAACCTTCTAAAAATATGCCACCAGATGGGGCAGTATTAGCAGATAGCCTATTAGGCTATTATAGCATAATATACCATTAGCAGATAGCATATTCACCCAGTCACTTATATATCCAATATAAGATAAAGGCTACATGATATTGTTTATGATGTATTGCTTGCAAAATATAAGAAAAACAAATCTATGTATTCAATGCAGACAGGATTTGTTGTTTTAATTTTTATTTATTCTTTGATAATTCTATACATTTATACAAAGTGTCTTAAACACATTCATCCATCATTTCAAAACCTTCTGGGGTCCCAATAACATTTCCTTTTTAACCTTGTTTTCCCCTACAACATTTATTTTATAATCCAATGAATATACTTAGTGCTGCCCATATGTTCATGGGCATGAGATCATCCAATGGGCCCAGACAACATTCCAGTGGCCACACTAAAGAAAAGGGACTCTCAGGGGATGGAGAGATGGCTCAGCAGTTAAGAGCACTGACTGCTCTTCCAGAGGACTTGGGTTCAATTCACAATACCCACATGGCAACACACAACTCTCTGTAACTCTGGTTCCAGGGGACCTGACACCCACGGCAAAACACCAATGCACATAAAATAAAAGTAAATAAATCTTTTAAAAAGCAGAAAAGTGATTCTCCCTCCTGCTTCTCAGCTTGGGGTAGAGCTCCATGAGTCCCGCCCTCCTCATGCTGGCATGTCTAACTGGCTTGGTCTTGCATGGGTGGTCACAGCTGCTTGAGTTCATGTGGGCAGCAGGTCATGTCACCTCCAGAGGACAACATTTCACAGCACTCCACCCCATCCTCCAGCTTTTCCACTCTTTCTTCTTCCTCTTAGAGATATATCTTGAGCCTTGTAAGTGAGTTGATAAGATGTGCCATGTGCAGCCGAGCACTCAGTCGCTTGTTCTCAGCATGACAAGCAAGAATGAGTATCTTCATTAACCACTAACCACTACTACAAGCACCTCCTTTACCTAGGGTTCCTTGACAAATGTATGGATGTAAACATGAATATGTAAGAAAAAGTTTAAAAACATGACCACTGTAGCTCCTCCAGAGGACCTGAGTTCAGTTCTTTGTACCCACATCAGGCACCTCAAAGCAGTCTCTAACTCCAGCTCCAGGGGTTTCAATGCCTCTGACCTTGGTGGTTCCAACACTCATGTGCACATACCCACCTGCAGACACACCTACACATAACTAAAAATAATAATAGTTTTAAAAAATAACAAGTTTATGTCATTTTCAGGAAAATGGGTAGAACTGAAGATCATTATGAAAATAAGTCAGAATCAGAAAGACAAATATTACATGTTTTCTCTTATTTGTTGAATGGAGTTGTTTTTAAGAGGTTTAAGTAAAAGGGGAAGTATTTGGAAAGGAGGAAGGGGACCAGGGTCTAGGGAAGGAGTTAGAAGAGAGAATAAAGAGGTGTGAATATATGTGTGTCTGTGCGTGTGTGTGTGTGTGTGTGTGTGTGTGTGTGTGTGTGTGTGTACAGATCTTCATGAAACCTGTTATCTTTTTCACTAATATACACCAATTTAAAGAGAATTCTGTGGGAAGATGAGATGGCGCAGTGGAGAAAGGTGTTTGCCACCAAACCTGACGACCTCAGTTGGAATCCCAAGGATGCAGATGGTGGGAGGAGAGAACTGACTCCCTAAGTTATCCTCTGACCCCACATGTGCACCATGTGTACACAGAGAGACATAGACAGAGATGCAGACAGAGACAGAGATGCAGACAGAGACAGAGAGATGCAATGATTATTTGTAAAGGAAATTCCACCAAAAATCAAAAGAAGCAGAGTCATCTAGTAAGATGAATGTGAACCCCATGTTCCTCCAAACATCTTACTGATCCCATGTCAAAGACCAGCTATAAAACCACCCACATAGTGATGTCTTTTCTAATCTTAACATTCTTTGTGTTTTGTTTGTTTTTATACACAGGGTCTCACTACAACCCTAAGTGGTCTGCAACTCCTATGTGGTTAAGGCTGGGCTCAAATTACTGAGCTCCACCTGCCTCTGCCTCCTGTGTGCTGGGATTAAAGATGTGCACCATGTCACTTTGTCTCTTAATGTAATGTGTCTTAGCATGAAATATGTAACTGTGGCTCATTTTAATTTTTGGACCCCGTCTTTATCTTGTTTTTATTGACAAATAAAATTATAAATGTAATATTTATGATTGAATATTTTTAACTTCAGATGGGATAGCCTCATGCCATGTATTAGTTACCTTTCTTGTCACCACGTCTAATACCTGACAAAAAGCAACTTAGGGAGGAAGAGTGTATTATGGCTCACAGTTTTGCTGTTTTGAAACACTTATTATTTTTATTTTGTCTGTGGGCCAGTATGTATGTTCAGCATGTGTGTGAAGTTCCTTGGGAGGCCAGAAGAGGGCATAAGATTACCCTGGAACTGGAGTTACAGGCAGTGAATTCACTGAGGTGGGTGCTGGGAATCGAAACCCTAGGCCTCAGTAAGAGTAACGAGTGCTCTTAGTGGCCAATTGGCTCACCATTTGAGATTCAGATCCCTGTGGCCAGATAAGCACAGTGTAGGATAATGAAACATTGCATCATCATTCAGGAAGCAAGCAGGAAGTGGGGTCTGGCTATGTCACATCGAGGTTCACTCTTAGTGACCCACTTCCTTTCCCTAGGCTCCACTTCCTATAGGTTCCACTACTTCTAAAACAACACCGCCATTGGGAACCCAAGTGTTTAAACACGTGAGCATGTGGGCAAATTTTATACTCAAATCACAACATACTCTAAATGAGTTGATATATAGGAGATTAAATTTTAACTGTTTTTTTTTCTTTGCTAAAATGTGATTTTCTTTGCTGCAGTGGGCAATTCTACTTGCCCAGGAAAGATGCCATCACCATGCTTTTGAACTCCAGTCCAGTTTCTATGCCAGTAGAGAAACAGAATGCTACCCACTCAATGAATGGACCAAGTCAAATTTAGGCTGTGTTCAAGGGGCCATTGGATAGTTGTGACATCATCACATTTACTAGCAGCGGCAATCCTGACAATAAATCTTTCAGAAAGGGTTTAACTTACGCATACATTGAGGTCCTCAAGTCCACTAGGGCAGAGATGATCCCCAAAGACAGGGCAAATGAAGTCTATAGATGTCAGGGGACAAAGGTTCCTCGTCTCTGAATGAAGACACGCCCGAAGGCAGCCTTGACCTCCTTGTTCCGCAGGCTGTAGATGAGAGGGTTGAGCATGGGCGTCACAATGGTGTATGACAGGGACACCACTTGCTTGCTCTCAGGAGAGTAGCTGGCCTTGGGGCGCAAATGGATGACCCCAGTTGTGCCGTAAAACAGAATCACCACAATGAGGTGGGAGGCACAGGTAGACAGGGCCTTGTGGCGCCCAGACGCTGATGGCATCCGAAGGACAGCAGCCAGAATCATGACGTAGGACGTTGCTATAAGACAAAAGGGAACCATGATAACTAACACTGTGACAACGAACATACTAGCCTCGAAGACTCTGGTGTCTGCACACACCAGGCTCACCAGAGGTGCTATATCACACAAGAAGTGCCGGATACCCCGTGACCCACAGAAGGGGAAATTAAAGAGCCAGATGGTGAGGGCCACAGATACCGGTAATCCTGCGAGCCAACAGGCGGCAGCCAGCAGGTGGCACAGCCTCAAGCTCATGATGGCACCATATCGCAGAGGCCTACAAATGGCCAGGAAGCGGTCCCAGGCCATGACCGTGAGGAGGAAACACTCGGATGTGACTAAGGACAGAACTAGGAGCAGCTGCAGGGCACAGCTTATAGGGAACATCCCGCGTCCAGGCCGCAGCAGGGTCACCAACAGACGGGGAGCCACGTCCAGTGAGAAGCAGATCTCCACCAGTGCCAGATGGCGCAGGAAGAAGTACATGGGCACACGCAGGCCTGGGTCCAGGCTGGTGAGAATGAAGATGAGCGTGTTGCCTAGCAACGTGAGCAGGAAGGCGACCAGGAAGAGCACTGCAAGCATTGGGCGCAGGGAAGGCACGTGTGAGAAGCCCAGCAGCACGAACTCCAGCTCATGTGAGCGGCTCTCATTAGTCCAGGGAGGTGATGCCCAGGAGGGTGGCATGGGTTCAGGACTTAGGGCACTGCGCTAAGGACCCAGGAGGAACCTTATGGAGTACCAGAGGGAGGAGAAAATGAAGTGAGAATTGTAGCTTGTGAGTCCTATCATTCCTATTCCCAAGGGGGCACTTAACCCAAATGGTAAACCAAGTCCAGTGCTTTCATGGACAGAGCCCTTCTTAAATCCCCCAGGGAATGTGGGATGAAGCAAAATGTACTCACCCGCTGATCTAGCCTGTCTTTCCCTTAAGGTCCTCTGTCTTCTGACTCTGCTTTCCTTGGTTTTGAAGGATCCAGGAATATTGGAATATAAAATTATAATCGTAAGAGATGAACAGTGACAGTTGTCAGCTCTAAAGGTTAACTGCTCACAGTGGCTCTGTACTTTACAACAGCTCCTCTGTCAACAGCCAGAGGTCAACTCTTAACCCCCTTGCCCCTTAGAGCCAACAACTTCCAGGACCAAAGTTAACTCTTAATAGTTGTTTCTACATGACATCCAGCATGCGTCCCATACCTGGTTTTTCTACAGGAATCCTAGCATGCACCCTGTGCCTGAATCTATAAAAGGGGGCCAGTACTCATCTCCATTGCCACAGTCTCAGATTCCCACATTGGCTATGGTCTCAGTTAGCTGAAAAGCTTTTGTGCCCCAGGTTGTTTTATTTTTTTAATTTTCATTTTCATTTTTCTGGAATAAAGTTTGCTTCTGATTTAATAGACTTTGGTGGTCTGACCGCCATTTTTTTCAAGTCCCCAGACCCAACAGTTGGTTGTACCATAATTTTTGTTTTTACACAAAGGTCTTTGGGAGTTGCTGTTGTTGTTTTGAACCGGTGTCTCTGTAAAGAGCCCTGGTTGTCTTGAACTCATTATGTTGACCAGGCTGTCCTGGAACTCACAGAGATCCTCCTGCCTCTGGCATGCACCATCACACCTGTGAGGTGGTTCTTGTCTAGCTCTCTATCCTCATCGCCTTCTGAACTTCTAGCTCACTAGGCTTTCTTTCCAGAACCTTTGCATCTTGGTCCCTGATATTTCCTTCTCACTTCACAACCCTTGTCCCATAGGCGGCCCTGGTGACACTTAGTGTGTCACAAAACCAAAGCAGAAGGGAACGATGTAAATGTGGGAAATGGGTTTGTGGGGGAGTCGGTAAGAGTGGTGGGATGAAAATGGGAGAGAGTGAGGTGACAGCCATCAGAATTTTCTATGATATATATATGAAATTGCCAAAGAACAATTAAACTTGGAGAAAAAAATCATCAGAAAAATTAATGGAATGTGGTTGGGTTTTGTTTTATTGGAGTTTTTTGTTTAGTTGGTTGGTTGGTTTTAGTTTTTTGTTTATTTGCTTTCTGTTTTGTTTTTTCAAGACAGCCCTGGATGTCTTGGAACCCACAGTGTAGTCCAAGCTGGCCTCAAATATGCAGAGATCCACTAGTCTCTGCCTCCCATTTTTGTGATGAAAGACATGCACCACCACCAACACCCTGCAGAATTTGTTTTCTTAAAGAGTTCAAATTTCTAAGACAACACCAGACCAAAGTGAAAAAATAAAAAGATGCCCAGGGAATAAAGATAAGGACTCTGCTAAGACTCCCTGAAGCGAGGGTTGACACACCCACCACCAATGCAGACTGAGTCTGTTCTGTTGCCAGTAGAATGTAGGCTGTAAAACTCTCAACACAACTGATTTTAGGATCCACTAATGGGTCATGATCTGCAACTTGGAAAAAAACACTAGCAGGAGGGAAAGGCTCACCCAGTAAATTAATAACATGAGAAAGGAGAGGGTCTGGTTAATAATGGTGTCTTAGAGTGATGGAAAAATCCCTGTCACATATGAGCAGGACAGCCTCCTCGAAGCCTCCTGTCTTACCTGTGACATTGCGAAAACAGGATTTCACTTGGAGGGCTGCATGGCACTGTACTACCTATTGGGCTAGTTAGTGCTGTGCTTAAAAGTCCAACACAGCCATGGCAATCTTTAAGGAGGTCAGAAGGCTGAGGAGATAATGTCTGATAAAACCCTGCAGCACAAACATGGGGCCCTAAGTTCTGACCAGCCAGACATGGCAGCAGGTGCTGTAACCTCAGCACTGGATGGAGGGACAAAGGTGGGAGGACCATCAGCCATCTAGTCTAGCTGAAATGGTGAGGTCCAAGTTCAGTGTGAGACCCTGTGTTGGAGAGACCCTGTGCTGAAATATAAGGGAAGTGATACAGGAAGACACAGAAGGTGACCATGACCTCCACAGGTGCTTACCCATGTGTATACACACACACCTACACACACACACACAGAGAGAGAGAGAGAGAGAGAGAGAGACAGACAGACAGACAGACAGACAGACAGACAGACAGACAGACAGACAGACACAGAGAGAGACAAGGAGAGACAGAGAGAGAAACAGAGGGAGAAGAGAAGACATAGACAGACACAGACAGAGACACAGACAGACAGAGACAGACAGACAGAGAGATGCAGTCTATTGGCCATGGTAATACATGTTGATATTCTAGCACTATAGAGATAGATTCAGGAATATCAGGAATTCAAGGCCCCTTCCAACCACATAGTGAGTTCAAGGTCAGCTTGGACTATGTGAGACTATGTCTCAAAATATAAAGTATGGAATGGGATGGGAGAGGTGAGGAAGGGAAGGGAAGACAGAGGAGTGGAGGGGAGAGGAGAAGAGATTAAAGGACAGGGGAGGAGAGGAGAGGAAAGGAGAAAAGTCACAGTACAATGGCATGGAAGATATTCAGGCAATATTGTACACCAAAACTCAAGTTGTGGAATAAGAAGAACAAGGTGGTGTCTTAGATTGGATTCCTATTGCTATGATAAAACCCCATGGCCCAGGCACCTTGGGGGGGAAAGGGTTTATTTGACTCATTTGTCTACATTGTAGTTCATCACTGAAGGAAGTCAGGACAGGGACTCAAACAGGGCTAGATCCTGGAGGCAGGAGCTGATGCAGAGGCCATGGAGGGATGCTGCTTACTAGCTCACTCCACATGGCTTGGTCAGACTACTTTCTTATCGAACCCAGGACCACCAGCCCAGGCATAGTACCATCCATAGTGGGCTTGGCCCTCCCCCATCAAGCGCTGACTAAGAAAATGCCCTACATCTTGTCGACAACACTGTCTTATGGATGCATTTACTTCATTGAGGCTCCCTTCTCTCAGAGGACTTTAGCTTATGTCAAGTCGATATAAAACAATCCTGCACAGATTGTATAACAGAAACACACCACAGAGTTACCTTGTTTTTCTTTCAAGACCACATGAACAGGGAGAAATGTACCATGAATGTAGGAAAGGATATACTCTAAAAAATGATGGAAATTCCTCTCAAACATGAGGATGCCGGGGCATTTTAAATTTGGTCTTTTAAAATTGTGGAGTGGCAAGATGTCTCAGTGGGTAAAGGTGCTTGGTGCCAAGCCTGACAATTTGAGTTGGATCTCTGGAATCCACATGGTGAAAAGAGAGACCCTGCAAGTTGTCCTCTGACTGCCACATTGCATTGTGACATGCAGACACACATCATACACTTACCACAAACACACACACACACACAGAGAGAGAGAGAGAGAGAGAGAGAGAGAGAGAGGAGAGAGAGAGAGACTCGGGGTGTATGTTTGGATTGCATATTAGTCATTATGGTGTATTTTGTTTTGTTGTTTTGTTTTTGGTATTGTTTTTCAAATAGAATCATTCAACTGGAATCAGAGCTATGATCTCTCACTTCTTAAATTCTCCATCACCCAAAAAGGAAAAACAGATCCTTTCTGTGTCTCAAATCAGGATCTCCTGTGAACAAGTTTGTGGTCCACTCCTGAGCCAAGAAATACAGCACCAAAGCAGTATTGTTTTAATGAGTTAGAACACTTTAAAATATGATCATGGAATAGACCAAGGATGAGAACCGTTTCTAACATCCCTCTGAACCCCACCCTATCTTAGGATGTGCAAACAAAGAAGAAACATCCTCTTTTATCTTTTTTAAAGACTGGGTCTCACTGTGCAACTAATATTGGTCTGGAACTCACAACATAGAACAGACGGGCCTCCAACTTAGGAAGATTCCCCCTGACTCAGACTCTTAAGGTCTAGGATTACAATCCTGAGTTACCAGCACTTTTCAGGACCCAGCACTTCCTGCCACACAGCTCCAATAGCATCCAGGATGCCCACCTCTTAATGGGAAAAAAACTGTGCCTTGATAGCTAATTAAAAGCAAAGACTCAGTGCCTCCTACAGGAACCTGGAATGAGAGGTAGAAGTCACAATCCAATATTGGGATCTGCACAACCCAAAGTAAGCAAGGGCTTCGATGTGTGATCTCTACCTTGATGAGTGCTCCTCCATCCACCTGTGAAGGGAAGGTCTTAATATACCTGGGGCTCAAGGAAAGAGGGAAGAGAAAGGTTTGTCACTCAGAAAGTGCCCCCAAGTGTTTCCAAGAGTGAAACAGAAACTTAAATCCAAACTCTACCATTTAGTAGTTGTGAGAATGGCTTAACTTCTCTGCCCATTATCTGGAAAGTCATAAAAATAGTGGTATCTGCTCCTAAAATGTCAGTGAGAATTAATTGAGGCTGTGTTGAGATTCAAAGTCTTGAGTCAAAAGCTTCCATGGCAATTAGCCATCATCATCATCTTCATAATCACCAGTATTCTCAGCATACTCCTCTATGACAAACAACATCACCCCATCATCACAATCATTATCATCACTGTTATCTTTATCATTTTCACCATTCAAATTGTCGTCTGAATCATTTTATCATTTACCACCTTTTATCACCATCATTACCACCATTATCACCATATCATTATAATCTTGCTTATCACCACCATCATCATATAATCACTAAATCATTATAATCTTAATCATCACCAACATCTCATCACCATCTGACCATCATCATCACCACCACAACCACCAACAACAGCAACAGCAGAATTATCACACTGATATAATCTTAA